ACAGAGAGAGACAGTAGCCCTGTTAGCATACCGAAGAACACTGCCCACCAATACATGGACCATTCCACATCAGTTTCTCAAGAATTCAATGCCGCCATATCCATCTATCGTGTACACGGTTGAAAATATCTGTATAGTTAACGTGATGATGGAAAAATATTGATGGTTTATATTTCTATCATACAACAAACTGAAGGAGCTCAATGTTTCACGATGCTCCTTATTGGGCTCATCTTTACTCATTGTTTACGATGCATTTTTTTCCTTCTAGGTCTCTCGAGTTTTTAGTTCCTCTGATTATCAGAAGTTTTGCTTACATGATTTATATTTTTAGATTTATTTTGATTTGCATGCAAGATGTTAGAGAATAATCCAACATTAAATAAAATATTGATTTTACAAAATAAAAATTTAGGAAGTTAAAAATTTTTGAAAGATGAAGGATCAAAATTAGCATAAATAAAAGAACAAAGCATTTTTTTAATTTGCAAAACATTCAAAAGGCCTAGAAAACCTTAGTTTGATCCTTTAATTGTTACATATTTACAGTAAAATAACAATTAGCTTTGAAAATTGTGCACCATAATTGTATGGGTGTAGTTTAATATAGTCACATGAGATTTGTCATTTTCAGTTTGATTTAGTTTTTATTAAAAAAAAAAATTATTTAAAAAAAAAATCAAACTAGAACCAGTTTAAATCGAGCTACTTCGGTTCATTTATTTTAGAATAAAAACTGGTTCAAATCGGTTTGGTTTGGTTTTTTTTGTTTTGCTTAGTTTTTCGGTTTAGTTCGATTTTTTTCAGTTTTGATTTTGGTTCGGTTTGGTTTTTTTAATTTTAAGCTTATAAAACCTAACCAATCGATTTTTAAAAAATTCTAATCGGTTTAATCAGTTTTTTTCATGGTTCGGTTATTTTATAATCAATTTTCTTGGTTTAATCAATTTTTTAATTTTTTTCACCCCTGACTCAGCATACCCTAGTTTTTTTTATTTGCTTTGTTTTGAGCCTTTCCTTGGTTCTGACTCTCTTAAACTTGATTTTATGCTTTCTGTGAAGGCTTCATGTAATCCATAGGACAAGCTTCCCACTAGTAGAGTTGTTTCTTGTACCATCTTCATGCACTCTTATGAAAATAACTCGGTGTTTGCAGGCTGCGTCTCATATTCAAGTAATTTCTGTTGTATTTCGTGCTTGTTGAGAACGATGTAGAGAATGTTCAACTTTTTCAAGGATTAGCTGGTGGCATGCAATGATGATTTATTAAATACCAAAACATACACTGCCTATCTTCAATTAATGTGGGAATGATTGAATTTGCTGTTTCCTGACATCATTTAGAGCTCTCAGCTTCTCATAATTTAATCTCCTTTGTAAGTTTTGTTGTGACTGGTTTCTACGTGTTTTTTATCATACTCGAAATTAATCCATGGAGCAATAGGTTTTGGAGTGAGAAATCAATATTTAATCCTCAGAACTTTAGGTGAAGTATCCATCCAAATTGAATTTCAGTTCTGATATTTAAAAAACCCGCTTAGTAGCCAATTAAATGAAAAAATTAATCTTTTTGTGCAAGAACGAAAGGATGAATGAGAAACTTTTTATTTTAAGAATAGAAAATGTTTTTTGCTAGAAATAATCTAGAATTTAAGTTTGTTTACAGCGTAGTTATAATTATTTTTTAAAATATTTTTTGTGCTGAAATATATTAAAATAATATTTTTTATTTTTTAAAAAATATTTTTAAAAATAACATATTAAAACGATATAAAACATAAAAAAAATTAATTTTTTTAAAAACACGAATACAACAACATCTCCAAAAAAAAAATTCAGGCTAGAAGCTAGAGGATGGAATGTTCCTGTCTTGGGTGAAAAATCAGTGAAACAAACGAGAAGAGAATTCATCCGAAGAATAAAAATTAGGGTGCGAGATTAGGAACAATTTGCCCTTGTCCCGTATACTGAACATGCTCACGCAGGCATGCTTGGCAGCCCCCTCAATTATATGGAGCTGGTGAGGCCTACCAGAATTCCCATGCAGGTATTTGCTCTGCCTGATAATAATGTGGAGTTAGGCTTGATACCATCAATACAGTCATGCCTTTGCAATTATTCCTATAATTCAGTCCACATTTGTACACTTCTCAGTACAGATACGGAATACCATTAGATACAGTACATCATGGCTAGAAAGTACAAGAAGGGAGAATAATCCAAAGAAATGCTCAATACTTAAAATGACTTTCAACAATGTGGATACCACATGAAATTTCTATTGCATATCAATACGTGTCCAATAGTCAGCTTAAAGAAATTTTTAACACAGAGCATGCTCAAGGAATGTATAATAGACAATGAAGCAAAGCTATGACAGCTACGAACATCCATTCACAGGACGACGAGAAGAGTAGCAACCGATTTTGGGTGCGATCTACTTTCCATCTACACCATTGTTCTGATTGATTTCTATGGTCACCTATTGGTTCAACCAGTGCCTGTGCTTTAACTATACGTGCTTGAGTTGGAGACAACTTGCAATTACTACTACACAAGACAAAGGGTATAACTTCTGTGGTATACATACTTCACAGAGGAAAACCACCTATTGATCACAAAAACAAGCACCCACATTTGAACGTTCAATCCCAAAACTTTAAACCCTATAAGTTAGCATCATGTGAATGGATAAGGGTGAGATAACTCTGGGCAGCTCTATAAACTGCCTCATTAAATCCACTCTCCCCCTCCAAGGAAAAAAAAAGGAAGACGAAAAAAGCAAAATAAGACCCGCCATGATAAACTTGAGAGATCGACAGAAGGCCTGCACTTTATAAATAATTGCAACATTATAGTATCACACCAGGCTTTCAAAACACACAAAGACATGCATGCTCGCAGGTTTTGCTCCTATCACCTTTGGCAAGCCAAATTACATTAAGGTCGTCATAGCCTCCAACATGGTTAAAGGATTTGCATTTTCCCCTTTTCTATTTCTTGGGAGGTGACTTTCTAAAAAAATGGTACAGGTCTGTTATCAAGATACAAATCCAGAATAGCATAATTGATTAGCTCGCCAAAAGAAGAGAAGAGAAAATGGAGGAAGAACCAGTAACATGCACCCTAAGGAGTTGCAGAATAGGTTTTCCTAATCTCGCACAAAAAATTAAATTTTAAATTATTTTGATCGCTAATCTTAAAAATAATTTTAAAATTAAAAAAATTATCTTAATATATTTTAATATGAAAAACATTTTAAAAATCAAACATAACCCCACTTAAACAGTCTATTAGAGATACGACTATGTCACTAACGACGACATGCTTTTGGATATGAGCATGCAGTCATGCTGAGGCAAAGAAACATAAAGCTCAGCTACAGGAGGGTAAGAAGAAGAAGGGAATTGATCGGGTAGAATGTAAGATGACTGTAGTGGAAAGGGATAAACCATGGGCTCAAAGTCTGACAGAACTGCAACAGCTCCAGGAAAGAGAAGAAAAAACCCAAGGCTCAATCGTTTCGCGGTTCACAACTTGTACTGCTGCTTCTGCTTGTAATCCCAACGATGCCAGTTCCTCGCATGTTTTTCCTTCCTGTCTGCTGGTTTGGTTCATTAATGGTTATTTTGATGTAATTTAGCCTTCATAACTCTTGTAGTTCGAGGCTTATAGACTGATATTGAAACGAAACATGCCGAGTAAAATAAAATGGAACAATTAAGATTAGAATTTATTATAAATACATTCTATGTAACTCTATTTTAAAATAATGAAAAATAAAAGCTCGTTATTTTTATGCATGTAGATACATTGTTGAACTACATTAAATCATCTTGTGTTCTTTTAGATTTCTCTTCTATTGCAACTTTCATCGATAATAATTGCTGCTGGATTTTCACTGAAATAACAAATCCGACACTTTCCTTTTTCTCAATTTTCAATTGTCATTTGAAATTTTTTATTTGTAAATTGGAATATTGTACTTTGTTCGGTAGGATTAGTAAAGCAGATGCTACAACTCGATGGGGTGTGTTTCAATATGTTCTTCTTCCACCTTTTATCTTCTCTTGGCAAGCTGGATCGATTACGTTATCCTGGAAGGGTACCTGGATCACATAATTGTACCATTTACTCAGAAGCTAAATGGAAAGGGTAAAATGGAATCTTTTAATTATGTTGGAGGATTTCATCAAGTCACTGTAATGATTGTAAAACCTATGAACAAGCACGTCTCTGTGCTTCGAAAGCCTCGTATGATGCTAGCATTTTGCCATAATTTATACAGCCTGCTACCTTTAATGAGGCTTTGTTTATAGAGCTAAACGGCAGGTTTTAATCTGCTCTGCTTTAGTTTGGAGTGGGGGAGTGAATTTAATGAGGTAATTTACGTACCTAACCCGAGTCTCTCACTTCTAAACCTTTTACATGATGCTAGGAAGCTACTTTTAAGGTCTCTCGAGTTTTCAAATTGCAGTTTCACCAGCGGGGTCTATTCCTGTGATTGCACGTTGTTACTTTGTGAACGAAAAGCTCTTAAAGACTACGCCCAGGATTGAAAGATCATTCTACCAGGTTGCACGTGTTCTGCCCCATATCTGCTGTAGTATTTTCGAGTTATGTCTCCCACGCTTTCGTGCACATTGCATCTGAGTGCTAAAAGCATGCCGAGCGAAATCACAAGCGATGGATTGTGTAGCTGGGAGCCTGCAAATATTCGTTCTCCTGCTTTCATGACAACGTTGATTATATCTCAACCTAAATTGACATCATTCTTAGGTAGCAAATGCCATTATGTTTTACAGGTTAGCCCTCATTTGAAAATTGCGAGATGGCTCCACCAGAGGATTATATAATTGAGATGACTGCGTGAGCATGTCCTCTGCACAGAACCTGGGCAAATCGACCCTAATTGTCGTTCAAAACTGCAACAGACGTGTACTAGATTGGGACTCGGATATAGGAGTTTGATTAAATTGTCCCCCATTGCAATCAATTTGAAGGCCCGACAAAAGGGTACAGACCCCATCTACTGTGATAAAATTGATAGTGACACAAGAACTAACACCATATAAGGGGAGTCCCTAGCCATTTTATTATGCCTCTTATGGCTGTATGTGTAGAGATTCAATGGCATCTCCGCCCCACAGAAACCCACACCCACACATGGATCTGTCTGGCTATATTTATCCACAAGTTGCGATATTATCTATATATAACTTCCTAGATTGGCTAACCCGTGGTGGTTTCAGTTGATAATTTGATCATGAAGAGTTGCCAATGGAGGTGACTCTGATAGGCAGCTTTTTCTTTAACTTCACTGTTGGAAAGTAGATAATGTTATCCTTTTCAGCAATCCATCTGCAGTAAGAGAAATTTAATAGCCAAATTAACAAATCAAAGAACACTACCAACCAATGCATGGACTTTTTGTCTTCGGGGTCAACCGCATTTCAAACCAAGTTGGCCGATAAAAGCTTCATTTTTTATGTTTTGTGGACAGCCACAATTTAAAATGTTTTTAGCCGCGTGGGCAAACAGGCCCTAAATATCTATATGATCATTTCACAAGAAATTATTCAGCACTTCCAGACAGATCATGCTCATAGACGTGAGAGGGAGTAGCACATCAGATGTAACAGTATGAGATAATTTTAGAGACCAAAATTACCTGTAAGTGGTGACAAGATGGTGAAGGAAGATGGAGATTTCAAGCCTGGATAGTTCTAGACCAGGGCATAGCCTTTGTCCACCTCCAAAAGGTGTAAAGCAATTGTTCTTAACAGAAGCTCCTGTTTTCTGTGGTTAAAAAGAACAGCACATTGTTCACAAGATTAGTTTTTTTCTTTTTGAATTTCAGCTGAGAAGAAAATTGAGAGTGACTGAAGCCTCCTCAAGCGCCCTGGTTAATAGGAAGAGACCCTTGTGGACCAAAAATTATTATCTTGCTAGACAAAGACAGCAGAGGAGATTCTAGGCTCTATCAAAATGGTTTTACAGCTTTACCTCCCATCTCCATGGATCAAACTCATATGGGTTTTCATAATTTTCTTCATCCATATGTACAGAACTGAAAGATGTCAGGACACACCATCCTTCCGGAATCAGAATTCCTGCAAAATTAAACAAGTTTCTTATCATTTCCCAGAAACATTACTTGCGCGTATCCTTAATTTTTAGAAACATATTTTTCACTACATCAGGAATTCCTAATCACAGTAGGCAAAAGAAAAAAGAAACAGAAAAGAATGATCACACACACACACACACCTTTGATCTCTACATCCTTGAGAGCTTTCCTCCAAACTGCATTGATTATGTTTGCTACTCTAAGAGTTTCATTTATCACCTAGGGTCATAGATAAACAAACAAATAATCTCAAGCGATAAACATAATTTCATAATCTATCTCATGAAATTAGCTTAATGATGAGACCTTGATCTACTGTAAATTAATATTCATCATTTTCATCTTCCCTTTCAACATTTGTTACTTACATTCTGAGTAAATTGCAAGGACAAGTAATCAGTCCAACAATAATCATCACCAGAATCAGTCTTCTGCCTCTTCAATTTCATGTTCTCCTCCTACACAACCACAGGAAACATCACTACCCCCCACAAAAGAAACTCCAATATGCAAAAATTATTGCTATGCATTCAGTTTCAACATTTCAATAATAAATCACTGGTTTAGATGTGGCGAGGTATCCTTCTAGTACTAACCTAATTACATAGCACCATAGCAGAGCAACCATCGAAAAAACAAAAGCATTAGTGTATTTAAGTGAAACAGAACATTCTATTCGAATTAGAAGTGGTAGTAATGACCAAGAAGATACGACAGTAGTGGTGCCTCTCTCTAGTTTTTCTGGGGACTAAACGCAAGCCAAGCCAAGCCAATGATAGCAGAAACCAAATCCTGCATCAACCAGCAGCTAGCCAGTTCACGTTCGTTTATTTCAGGCAGTTCTTTTAAAACATTCCATTGTCTTAGTACAAACTTTTCTGCTCTTATCTTTGCTTCTAGTGTCAAGTTCTAATCCATCAATACATCATGATGCTAAAATTTTTAGATGTTCTCTAACAATCTTATCAACTGAACTCCTTTTTATAATAAATTTACTATGAAGTAATTTACTATAAAATAAACTACATAGGTAGCATTTGATTACTATCTTGAAATTAAAAAAAAAAAACAGAGATAATAGGGACATGTCTTCATGCACTTCCTGATTTAAAAATATAAAAATTCATTACAGTACTATTTTTGTTTTGAACATATTTTTTTTATGTTTTCGTCGTTTTTCTTCAACTAAATACATTTATATCTTTTTTTATTTGTTTCTTCTATGGAACACTAACCCAACATGAAAACAATAGATAAATTGGAAACAATAAATAACTGGACAAGCAAAACATTTTTTTTTTAAATCATAAATATCGATTTTGATTTAAATTTTTAAAATAAACAACCAATCAATCATATTAGACATTAACCACTTGATATCATTTAAAAGATTCATTCATATAACTATTTTAGAATTTAAATAAAATTATTTTTCACAGCCACATCTAAAAATCATAATACAGATGATTTTCTCTATGATGTTTTTTAGTACCTTGAATAAAGCCGTACTAATATTGATAATAAATGATAATAAAGTGATGCCTAGAGTGGTCTCAACCCTGACAGACACAGAGCTGATTAGGTGGTCCTTGCCCGTGGCCGTTCGACTCTATAATCGTACGGGTCATAAGCTTCCACGAGTTGTGGGGCCCTTTAAAAAGGGCTCACGTGTGTGACCTTTTTAAGAAAAGTCAACCACTGCACAATTCGTAATGAAGCCGACAACGCATGGCCCATATAGCAGGGAACCTCGAATAATCCTAGCCGATAGATTAAAAAGATGCAGACTCTATCTTGTAGTGGTGGATATATAGGGTAGAAGATTGAATACATATAAATATATATATATATATATATATATATACACACACACACACATATACCGTCAATAGCTCTAGAGCGGCAGGGCAGTCACTGAGGAATTTGACAGCTAAGGTCATGGACATGGGCACGGTTTCTTCTCCAGGGATCATCAGCTCAATAATATGTGAAATGACGAAATCCAACGATAGAGATTGATTGTCATTTTGTTCACCATAAGTGTCACGTAAAAGCACGTCCACTGCATCCTTAGGGATTGCATTATGATGTTCTTGATCTTCTGATTTCTCCACGCCCAGTTTTCTTTGCTCTACAATCTTTTTTACTAGCTTGAATATTCTCTCTTTAGCCTGCATGTTTATAACGAGTTAGAACCTATGAAAATAACTTCGGTAATGACGGAGACAGCGAGACATTCATTTTACGCTGCCGTTTCAATATCTTCAACAAAACAGATTTCTATCATTTACGTCCTTTTCTTTTCTGTATTACAAGACACTAACTAAACATAACATTGTGTTTCTATTTTTATTGAGTGGTAAGTAATAATACTTTAAAAAATATATATATATTTTTTTTACCTTTAAGGATTTGTATAATCTTGTTCCTGGTAATTTGATCGGCAGACATATCAACCCTTTGATGAATTCATCGAATTCTCTCTTGAGAAAATCCAAATCATCACTTGGATCAAGACTTAGCAATGCTTTAACCAAGACTTTGAACGTGAACTGAAACATCCACAGAGTAAATAAGAGTTTAACAGGAGTTAGTCCTTAAGTATGGCTCGAAAACTTCTTATATATCTTTAGGAGTATAAATTAGAGGGAGGAGAAGGTATGAACCTTTTGGGTTTCTTCTTGGATGAGTAGAAGGGGCAAGTCCTTCCAAGAAGTCAAGGTGAGTTTGACATGGTGCTCAATGTCTTTGGTAATTCTAGTTTTGAACTGTGGTGACCTCAAGAACCCACCAATAAGTGCATGGACCTTCTTCTGTAGTGTTCCATTGGTTTGAAGTATAGAATATTCTCCAAATATTTCCCTGATTGATTTAGGATAAGCAGGAATAAAAATGTTGCCATGGTTTTGTAAGACAACTTTGTTCACCGCTGGATCCGTGGATACTATGATGGGTGTCCCCAGGATGTGCGTTTTGAACACCTTCCCGTACCTGCAGACACACACAAAGACACAGATTTTGACCCATTCCTTGTTTGGTGGTTTTCATTGATTGAAGATAGAGCTGAAATGAAATGAAATGATAAAAAAATTGTCATTTCAGTACAGAGCTGTAAACTCTATGGGGACATAGGCTGTGCTTGCCGACTGGCGGAAGCAATAGGATAGGAGCTTCAGTAATCTATGGACATAGGCATGAAGGTAGGCTACAAATTCGCAAAAACGTGGACTCGTCTAGAAAACCACTACTTCTGAAACTTCGGCATGTCTATCTATGGCCTCTAGACCATGAAAAACTTGTCGGCATTGTAAGCTTAGATTGGCTTGAAGGTAATTAGTTGTTACTGGTGAAGGTGTTGCAGGCACATACGTGTATTCAAAAGAACATTTTGGCCTACCAAATTTACAAAATCTTTTGGAAGAGGACAAATTAAGAGATACGGTTCTCTTTTTTCCCTCCATGCAATTTCACAATGTATTTATTAAAATTCATTAATTTAAGAGCTCGATAAAAAACAACGACGAAAAAAAAAGAGTGCATAACATGCAATTCAATAACCCTAAAAAAATTAAAGCTTGATATTACATATTCACAGTATCTCTCGTGAAGCATTTTATTTTTGGCAAAACCACACTACATCATCATGATCATCATCAACAAGACCATCACCATCTCACACACACACTTGCTGTTATGAAACAATAATGCTGGTCAGATCAGCAAATTAAGGAGAAGTAGAAGATCATAGTAACATGGTATCTAATTCTAATCATGTAAAACTGAATATTGGAGCATGAATCCATGTTAACTCATGTGGCATATCTTGTAGTAAAATTTTTCTGTAGAAGTCAAACTCTAGATCAGTTGATCACAGAACTTGGGTTGTTACTAATAGTGCTTGGAGAAATGGAAAAGAAATATATCAATCTATCTTGAGTAATTCCATGAAGATTAATTTTGAGATAACTTTGAACACATTCGATGACAAGAAATTTCAGCACTTATACCTTAGTTGTATTTATTTTCATATAAAAAGAAAATCAGGAGATTATACACACACATATATATATATATATATAAGATAAAAAAATAAAATATAAACCAGGAACGAATTTATAAAAAAATGAAACCCTACACCGTCCAAGAGAGACTAACTAGAACATGGCCTGAATAATCTATATTGGTGAACATGCGATCTTGTACCCGCTTTTACTTTTAATTAGCTTTTCATATAAAAAGAAAGAAGAAAGAAGAAGAAAGCAGAAGAGATTAAAGATATGATCAGCTTTTGAACTCACAGGGGATGTAACTAGCTAGCTAGCTACAGAAAAGGCAGGGAGATCGAAGATCTTAAAAGCAAGAAAGAAACTGAGAGAAATTAAAAGCTTACAGTGATCTGCGTTTCTCCATGAAACTAACAGGTTGAGAAGTGTAGCCAGCAGCAATGAAGTCAAGAGTTTCTCCTATCAGAGGCCAGCCAAAGCTTCCCTTTGGAAGCACTCCACTCTTTTGTTCCATTTTCATGTCGCTGTTGCTGCTGCTGCTGCTCTTCTCTTTACTGTACCACCACCATCCAACAAAGGTACCAACCAAAATCCAAAATCCTATACACCATTCCATTCTCTCGAACAAAACTCTCTTTTCTCTATCTTTATTCTGCTTGGAACCCTAGCCAGGAAAGCCACAAACCCTGCAACTTAACTTCAGAGCTATCCAAGCTGACCCTCTAATAACTACATGCACTAGCTAGTCCTATGTTGCTCTCCTACTCTCTCTTGCGTGTGCGTGTGTGGTTTTATGAGGTGGTTGACAAGAAGCCTTTCCTTGTAAGAGAAATGAATGAGAGGGGGCATAGATATCTTGAGTGGGGAGATTCGGGAGATCTAGAGCAACAATCATTTAATGAGGTGGCCATATTGGGTGCACCCAGTCCGCCAGGCTATGTATTTTGTCTTCACTTCATCTACTATGTTTTTTTTTTTTCTTTTTTGTTAGAAAATATTATATCGTTTGAAGAAGAGTAATTTATTTTAGTATGATTATAAATCAATAAATATTTTATCTATTAATTAAGAGGAAAGATAAAAATTATTTAAATAGGACGACATGTCTTTTATATAATATATATATATATATATAGAGGGAAATATACATTAAACTTTAATTTAAAACTCAAACAATCTCATCCGTAAAATTCAAGCTTTCTTGTTATTATTAATATTTCCATTTTATTTAGGTGTATTTCTAAACAAAAGTCAACAAATTTAAATAAATTATTTTCAATATTTCTCTGTAAATACAATAATACAATACCTAAACTTTAGAGTAGAATAGGATAGTAATTAAATAAATATAAGAAGAAGAAAAAACAACAACAACTAGATAAAGAAAATGGATAACTGATGAGATTATATATGACTTTTCACTCATCTAATACATTTATTCAATTCAAAGAATTTTAAAATTGAAACATTAATTCCATGTAATTCATGAATATTCATTAATTATTAATTATGATGAATATATATATTCATGAATTACTTATAATAACATTCATTCTAATTATATAATTAATTTATTAATTTATATATCAAGGCATTTTAAAAACAAAAAAATTATTGATCAAATAAGTATTTTATAGCAAATATTTTTTATTAACCAAACTCAAATTTAAACTCATCATCCCACTAACTTATCCAATTTACAAAACTATTTTTAGCCTTGAAATTTTTATTATCCAAGAATTTTTTAAAAAATAATCACTCGTTCATTTTTAATTATTTTTTAAAACATATTATTATTTCATATTAAAATCTTTATATTGAATTACAAAACCCAGCATGATTTTAATCCTAATACGAGTGAATCTCACAGGTAATTTGATCATAAAAAATTCATTAAATATTTTATAAATTAATTCCAAGATACAACTAAATATTACGTGCTAAACGTGATTAGAATATCAATTGGGAAAATCACGCTAAAAAAATATATCTGGCTTAAGAAAAAAATTATTCTGAACTTTTTCGGAAGAAATATTATATTTCTAAAAATAAAACTAAAAGAGAAACGGGGGAAGCATTCATGCTTAAAACTATACAAGAACAGATAATTCGCAACTCCTCAGTCGAAATCATTCATATACAATCACTGTAAGGGACATATACATGGGCTTTGGAAATTACTTTATTATGTAGTTAAAATGATGCTTTCTCTCTGCAATGGCCTTCATGATATAAAAACTGAAAGCAATTTGCTGGCTGTGTCTCCGCATCAACGTATCATGTGTACTAGATAGGTGTTCCGTTGTGGTCACCTCTAATTATTTTAATGTAAAAAAGTAATATTTAATTAACAATTTTTCAAGACAGGTTAGGTTAGTTTTATTAAAACAACCTATAAAAATAAAAATATAAAAAAATTGTACGGTTTAAGATTTAATTATCTAATAATGTTAAAAATAAAAACAATAAATAAATTCAAAAATTATATTATCAAAAAAAAAAATCAAGTCAACTCGGGCTAACTTGATGAATTTATAGCTTACAGTCTGATATTAGGATAAGTAAAGAATTTTAAAAGAGGGACCAAACAAAAAAAAAATTAACAAAGAAAGTATAAAAAAACCTGAGTTAACTCGAGTTAATTTTACTAACCTGTTATAGGAATATCCAAACAAAAAAAATAAAAAATAACAAAGTCCAAGAACAAATTATTTAATGTAGGGTGATGAAAATGAAAAGAAAAAAAATCATGAAAAAAATAGAGTTATAAAAAAAAAACCTAGCCAAAAAAAAAAAAAACCAAAGTTAAATAAAAAAAAACTTATTGAGAAAATAAAAGTCAACCTGGAGTAATTTGACCAACTCATACCTAGAAAAACCTATCTCAACAACTTTTTTTTTTCAAAAAGCATTTAATAAAGTATGGTCAAAGATTCAGTAATTCAATAACAAATAAAAAAATAAAAAACAATTTAAAAAACCAAGTCAATTCACGTTAACTTAATTAATTTACAACTCGATATAAAAGATAGTAATAACCTAACAAAAAGAAAAGCATAACAAATCATAAAATTCAAGATCCAACAAGTTAATCACAAATAGTGAAAAATTAAAAAAAAATAAAAAGATTTTTAAAAAATATCATACTTAAACTAGGTTCATCATTAAAATTAATAGATCGGGTTATAAAACTGAGATTATCCTATAAAAGATATAAAAGAAATTATAAAGGAAAGTTTTAAATCACGAAAAAATTAAAATAAAAATAATAAGGACTAAACTATACAAATTTTTTTTTGAAGGAAACTAATCAATGATTAAATTAAAAAAACAAAATATATGAAGAAAATGATAAAAAAGACAAAAAAAATAAAGATCAAAATTAAAAACCAAATAAATTTATATTAAATTTCAAAGAACAAAATAAAAAATAAATTAATGAAAATTATAGTAAAAAATAGCACTAAAAATAATAAGAATAATATTATATTAAAAATCTAATGAAATTAAAAAACGAGGTTAGAGATAAAAAAACAAAATAAACTTTAAAAAGTATTATATTAAAAAAAATAAAAAATAAAAAATAAAGATTAAATTTAAAACAAATATAGATTAGATAACATAATTGAATTTTTAAAAGTTCTGTATGAATATTAAAACAAAAAAAAAACTTCAAAATAAATATAAATTAGATAACATAATTAAAAAAAAAAATACATCATTATCATCAAATCACCACCGTATTGACCACACGCGCTTTCAACCACCGTCTCATTTGATGTGTTAGATGGCAGTGTAGCTTACGAGGTTAGTATGCAAATGATATTTGAATTCTCCAAAAAAATACAACTTTACCCTTGCTACCTAGGTAATTTTTAAGTGCAATGGAAGACAAAGTGGTAAAAACACTATCTAAATTCACGGTTTTTCTTCCCGTAATGAATAGAAAAGGGGCAAGCCCTTTTATTTTTCTTCTATAACAAATAGGGTTTTTAATATCTAAAAATATAAAATTAACATTAATATTCACATTTTATTCAGTAGTTAATAGATAAAAAAATTTAAATATATATATATTTATTCATTGAGTTTTAAATATTTACTATTTGCATGATTCATTACTTAGGGCCTTTTCATTCCTGCATTTATAAAACGTTTTTTTTTAATTTTTTTGCTTTAATATTTTTTATTGTTTCTATATATTTTTGATATTCTAATATTAATTTTTAAAATATATTATTTCAATACAATTTTAAATAAAAAACAACAATTACTACAATACCAAATATATATATTAAATAAAAACATGGTAAAAACTATAAATTAAATGCATTTATTACCTTCTAGCTCAATGCATGTATATTTTTTTTCTTGTAGTGTTTATTAAATTGATTTTTATTTGAAAATATATAAAAATAATATATATTTTTTATTTTTAAAATTTATTTTTAACATTTGAAGATGAAAATAATACAAAATCATAAAAAAATTTATGAAAAAAACATTTTTTAAATATAAAAACAAACACAGGCTTTGACTTGAGATTTAATTTTGTCCCAGTAAAATCAAAAGAGGAAAAAAAAAAAAAGGTGATAGCTTCTGAGGAGGAGGAGGAGGAGGAGAAGAAATGTGATAGTAGTTTTGGCATTTGGGCTCTGATTCACCTAGATGGAAGCTGGTGTGATGCCACGTAACTCAAGGACATGCAGTGGGCACGTAAGATAAGTCCACTGGAACTATACAGGGCGCCGAAATTTGTCAGCCATCTCCATTCTCCTCTTCCTCTCCACTTTCCTGCTGTGGACACCAGAGAAAACCTTCGTAGTGTCTTCATCATTCTCAGTACTCTCACTGTCACAGTCACCGTCACCGTCACCGTCACCCCCACCGTCCACAAAACATTACCAGTACAGTGTTATTATCATACCATCTTTTGAGGTAAGTACTGTTGTATAACATGAGTTGTGATCCAACTAGGTTTTTTGTAAGTGTTTTCGGCTCTGAAAAATCAACTGCGGTTGGTGCCATCTGTCATGGTTGCAGTAGGAGCAAGTGGAGACGTTTCCCTGCATGTTCATTATAAGCTGCGACCACTTTTGTTCCGTTCAATAATTGAGTCTGTAATCAATTGTGCAGTAGTCCTCAAATTGATCACGAGTGGTGCAATCAGAAGAAACATCTCCTTGACTGGGACACATTGAACATCTCAGTTGGGGTCAAGATACAATCATGGAGAATTCGTGACTCCAGCAAAGCTCAATCACTAGCTGTACATTACGAAGTGGAAACAATTGATGCAGAATCAAATGGATATGGATTGCCATTGGCAAGGTTGTCATTTGTCCAGCACTTTTGAGGTCCCGAAGAATGCATGATTGGCTCAAGGAATCAACTATAGGCGACCGGCATGAGGAAGTGGCAATAAATAATTTCTTGTCCTGCTATCGATTTGCAACCAATTTATGTTCTAAATACATACAAGGAAACATCAAATTGAATTCATCTTCATACTTGCAGCAAGCATATAACAGCACGGAATAACATGGGAAAGCTTACTTCAATGGAGCCCCTACAAAAAATTATTTCAATGTCTCGATCGATCCCCTTACATTTACAAAAGACTTGGACCCTATATAGGCAACGAGGGAAGGTGCGTTTATCATGAAAAACGAAGCAGCCCGAAGGGAAATACATCACATGAAAAACAACCGTCCAATTTGTGGGCTCCGCATGTGGATCCTGCAATCTAACAGGCTGAAGTTTTCCATTTGATACGAACTGGGTGCTCTGTGTTGCGTAGCATTATTCAAGCAAGACTAGATTGCGTTGAACCCTTTGCAAATATGAACCTCAATGCTTTCACC